CAAAAGCTAAGGGCAGCGTGGCGGGGTGGAGCCAAGCCTGCTTGGCCCTCTCTGTCCGGGGTGCCGGGGTGCCACATGGGATAGTCCTACTGCACCCTGAGAGCCCTTGCGGCTTCCCTGGCACCCTCCTCACGGGAACCCCACGTCCGGGCACTCAGAGGCCCTTAGGAGGATTTGCTTTGGAAGAGATTTCTCTCCATCACCCCACCCTGCTCTGATCTCCCCAACAGGTGCGTTTCTGGCTCCCCAGAAATAAAACCACACAAAATGAGTGCTGGCAGGAGGGGCCTGAGCTCCCTCCCCTCCCCCAGGCACCCTGGCTTCCTATACAACAGCCACCTTGCTTTGGCTAAGGCCCAGAGCGGCCCAGCACCAGCTGGGTGTCACACAGCAGAGCCCCAGAGGCGGATCCGATGCCCCCCGCTCCTGCCTGTGCCCGACTCACACCAAGTGGCCGGGTCAAGTCCTGCCAGGTGCCACACAGGTTGGGGACCCATGACCTGAAGGATTCAGAGCACAGTCAGGACCCCTAGAAGCGGCTGTCACAGACACCCTGTGCCTCAACCTCTGCGCTCCCAAGGAAGGACTCGAGAGACCCTGAGGTTCCAGCATTCTCCAGCCAGAAGGAAAAACAAAATCACTTCGCTCCCTGAAAACAGAGGCTCTGGCCCAGCGACGGACCCGGCCAGACCCCTCCATTCCTGATGATTTTGGGGGGAGATTTTAAAAATGGGAAAAAACAGAGTCGGAGCTGCATGGGGAAGATCACCTCAGCACCCAGCTGTCCTCTGGCATAGACCTCGGCAACATCCAGGGCCACGTGGATGGCCCCCCACTTTCCCCTCCAGTCTTCCTAGAAATCGGTGTTCAGTCATTCCAGGGATTGGGGCCTCCTACTAGCCAGGGCACCAGCTTGACTTCTGGGCAACTGTGAGCCTGGTCCTCCTGGGCCACAAGGAGGAGTTAGATTTTCAGGCCCTCATTGCGGGGGGCGGGGGGGGGCTGTAAAGAGGTGGGGGATGGGAAGTGTGTCCCCCCCCATCAACTGGAGGCTGAGGTGACAGGTCAGGCACCCGTCCCAGCAGGCCTTCCCCATGCCCTGCCGGAAGCCATCATTCATCCAACCGCTCATTCATTCGGTCTCCCATTCATTCATTCATTCATTCAACAAACATGTATTTGTGCTCACCCTGCACACCAGGCAGGGAGAAGAGGGGACAAACAGGATGTGAAATGGGTCACAGGCCCTGGTCCCTCTCCCAGGCCCCTCCAGGATCTTGCTAGAGGATCCAGCATCAAAGCCTTCACAGAACCCATGCCCAGTCCCCAGCCCTGGACAGCAGGGCCACCCACGTCCACACTCCGCGCCGGGGCCACCCCGCGCGCGGCCGGCACCCCCTTTGCAGATGCCATCGGAGAGGGGCCGGGGAAGGAGGAGGCAGCAGGCCCGGCCCCACCTGCCTCCCTAGGGCTCCCACGCCCGCCCGCCTCCTCCCCGAGGCCACCCACCTGGGGGTTTGGGCTCGGGCTCATTGTCTCGGCCGCAGACCCCAACCCTGCTCTGACAGCGACCGCCAGGGCTGAACTTGAACCGGAGCTGGGGGCAGGGGCGAGGGGGAGGGAGTGGGCGCTTCCCCGAGACCCCCACCCCCTCTTTCTTTGTAGTTACCGAGGAGCCCGGGGTCCTGGGCATCCGCGTCTCCTGCCGCCGGACCTGCCCGGCCGCCGCCGGCCTGGCTTTGTGCAGACGGCCAGAGCCCAGGAGTGGAGAGGGATGGAATGGAAAGTTCCCCGACGACGACGA